TGACTGGGGAAGTGAATGTTAAGCGCTATGAAGGTTTCTCGCTGAGAACCAGCAAATATGCTTTGGGATAGTGGGGCTGCACATATTCCACCATAATCATCACTGCTTGGCTTTGAAAAACCCTGTTTACTCATGATGAGTTGCAGACGCAGTGGGATGGCTAAATAGATTAGCTATCATGCAGTTAATTACCTTCATCCCAACACTCTTCTAGATGATGTTCCAAGACATAACAATGCTGTAATGATACAAATGCCCCATCTCATGTCCTGAGCCAGCAGCAGGAGAATTATTGGAATCGCTCAAACTGGTAATCACTGGTGATTGTGCTTGTGTGTGGAGCATGGGAGAGAGCCACTGGAGCAGAAATTTCCCCCAGATCTTCCCATTTGATTTACATGTCAGATGAGTTACCGGCCTTATTGATATTGCTCCGGCTTTCAAAGACCCTGCTACTCAAAAAGGGAACAGGAAGACTCAAATTGACTTGGCTTCAGGTTAAAATGCACAGTGAAGCATGCTGGGGACTGGGCAATGAAGGGACTTCCAGGTGTTGTTCTTTGTCTATGTGCCGATGCCCAGGTGGGAAGTTTAAAACAAAAAAACCCCAAACCCCCAAAATGAACAGAGATGAATTGTAGCATATTCTAGTGTGCAGAGGTCTGGGTTTTTTTTTCCTTCTGAGGGTCCCCTGCCCACCCATCGTCTCTGCCACTGACTTTTGAATGACCCCGGGTAAGTCACTTAGTTCAGTTTCTCTTTTTCTCCTTTGTCTTGTCTCTTAAATAAGAAACCTGGGCAAGGATATCTCTGCTTTGCCCGTACAGAGCCTAGCGTACTGGGACATAGATTTCATGCCAAGCCTTGTGGTATTGCTGTATCGGATAAAGTCTGAATGGGAAGGAGAGTGGGAGGCGGGGAAAGGGGTCCTAGGGCAGAAGTATACTACGGAGGGCTGGAAAGAGGCAGTGTTCACTTCCCACCCTCCTGCTTGTGCGTGCGTACAATTATTAGCCTGCACTTTATATACTGCTTTTTGCCCGTAACCCTTTACAAGTGATCACCCCTTCTTTTTTGACACATGGGGAAACTGAGGCAAGAGAGGGAAAGAAAATTCCCCAGGGTCACCCAGCAAATCATCAGTAGAGCCAAAAGCCTTGCCCAAGTTGCTGTTTGGCACCGTGCAGGTGCTGCCCTGTCCCTGTCCTGTGCTCGTTGGCCTGGGATGCGTAAATCCACAGCTCCCATGGGGGGAAGTCGGGGACAGCCTCCCACACATATTCCCAGCTGCTTGTTTGGTTTGGAGCCACCGGGAGCACCCGTGTGTAGACTTTGAGTGCTGTGCTCTGTTTTTGCTGTGACAACATCCAACACGAGCTGCAATCAGCTTATCCCCACAACCGAGCCGCAGCTCTGAATACAAATTGCAGCATCCGCTGTGCAGGCCAGTGCTGCACCATCACCTAATTCCTCTCGGAGGCTGCGCAGGCGTGCATTTTAACAAGGGGTTTTGTGCAAGGTGCCAGCCTCTGTACTGTCTCTCCAAGCATCCCTTGAAGCCAGCGCAGCTTCTCGTGAGGGCAGACCCCAGGGCTTCCTGGGGTTACAGAGCGCCTGCTGCCTGCGGGACCCCAATGAGGAGTCTCATCTAGTTCAAGTCCTGGAGAGGACTTAGCTTTATAGCAGTGTAGATGTAGAGACACCTTCCAACCCCAGCTAGACAACAGGGAAGTGGCTTGCAAAGCCCTCGGGGTGCATGTCCAAGCCAAATGTTAGATGGAGTCCATGTCAGCAAGAGTAAGTGGCCAATTCCTGCCAACATCTCCTGACACCACCACAACTTTGTCCCTCTCTGAACTGTGCACTAGGTTGTGGGGAAGCCAAAAAAAAGATCCTGTCTCTTCCTGCCTGCTCTTCTTGTTCTCGGTCCTGTGGTTGTTCCAAGTTAATGTCCATTAGTTGGGTCTCCATCCCATCGGTGGGTAGCTTTGCTCAGTCCTTGAAGTTTGGCAGTTGACCCCGGCGTCTCCAGGGTTTTGTCCACAGGCGCTCTGCAACGAAAAGGAAGTCTGCAGCGCTGGCACCGTCCCACGGCTATGTCAGATCTTGATCAGCAGCCTTCAGCGTGGCGATGGTGACTGTTGGAAAATAACTGGCTTGTTACATAGCTTTATCCATTCAAAAAGCCACAATAATTGAAGGGACTGTATCTGTCAATCAGAAATCATTGCAATCTACATTGGAAGGCAAAGGCCAGTCTTGCAGACTCCCCTCTTTTGATTAAGATTTAAAACTCTCTGCTACGAGCAAAGACTCGCCACAGCTCCAGCCTTTGTGGTTTGTTTGTCTGCAATGAGGGAGCGTGGAGCCGGGTGTTCGGGTCCTGCGGAGACTCTGGCTCTGTTGGCTGGGCTACGCTCCTGCAGCCCTGAGCTGATTAAGTGCAGAGTGTCGAAGTGAGTGGGTTTGTGGTTCCCATCGCAGCTGTGCTCTGCTGGCAGGGTGCTGCACCGGCCAAAATTCGTGTCAGGCAAAAATCAAATTAAAGTTCACCAGCCTGACTGATGTGTTTGGGGAAGGGGGAAAAAATAAAACTACGCCACCACCAAACCCCCCTCCACACCACAGACTTCATCTGTTGGATGAAGTTACATCAAGCAAACGGAAATTAAAGGCTTCTCATAGCAAGATTTTCGGTATAATTTGATGGAAGACTTCAATTATGCCAAAGTACCTAAGAAAAGGAGCTTTTAAAAGGATTTCATTTTGGGGCTCTCATAAAAATACGTATCTATCTGCATAGGCCTTTTGAGCATCAGTTGGCCTGAAAGGGCTGCTGTCAGCTCAAGAAAGAGGGATTTTATAATTCTGTGCCCCCTTACTGCCCTCCCCTCCTGAGACCAATTTCTACTTGAGATGCCGTTTCATGAGAGAAGGTCGGCAGACGAAGCATGTAGGGAACCAGGAGCGGGTAACGGGGCTGAGCATGAAAGGTTTTAATGCTGCCAAACTATTTCCTTTATCAGTCAGTTAACATCCTGTTGGAAGAGGAACGTTATTGCTCACGATTGTCAGGACTGCTTGTGCCCATTGGGTGCTTTGTTTGTTTTTTAGACCTTTATCGGGCTCTCAGAGACGACAGAGCCAGGGTGCACATGTTCTCCATGGGCATCAGACCCAGCAAGGCCAACTGGGTGCACGGGCAAAGGGTCCAAGCCAAACTGCACTGGAGCATATGGGAAGGGAAGAGGGACGCAGGTTGAAAGGGTGTCTGGCGTTGAACGCCCAGAGGCTCCGGGTCCAAATTCTGGCAGGAGCTGCTTAGCCATTTACGTCTTTGGGAGAGGCGAATCGCCACTCGCTTGGTACGGTTTGTGTCTGGGACAGAGGGCATGAGGCCTGGACAGCGGATGCCTTGTCTGGCAAGTGTGTAAGCTGAATGGAGGCCGATTGTAAGGGGCTGTGAACTGATTCATGCCAATAGAGACTGTAGCCCAAAAGATCGCCCAGCGTTTCTTTTCTGAAGTCAGTCATTCACTCTGTGCACCTCCTGCCCTATGTGATTGCCTGCCATCTCCACCCCAGTGCTGAGACATGACCCCCTCCTTCCCCAAGCATGGCAGAGCCCCCCCATCTCAATGTGGGGGTTGGCAGTAAAGGTGTCTCCTTTCTCCCCATTAAACCGCAGGCTGCCTTGTCCTCTTCTGCTTCTTTTGGCAGCAAGCGATAGCCCAATGTGTAGGGCAGCAGCTGGGGAGATCTGTGCTCCATTCCCTGACTTTACTATGGATTTACTGGGTGAGCTGTGGTCGGTCTGTCTGTGCCTTAGATGAGAGCATTGCCCAGTTCACAAGGGTATAGCAAGGCTTGAAAGATTGAGAGGTACTATAGGGCCTGCGTAAGTACCTAAGATAGCTGGGTAAGACAGAAGTCATGCTGGGGACTGGAGTAGATCATGGTGAAGAGGGGAGAGCACAAGTCACATAGTCTAATGCACCATGGGGGGGAAAGGCCAACGAGTTGCTTTTTGCTTCCAGTATCCCATCAGCCTGAGGGATCAGCTTGGGGAGCGTCAAACCCACGCCCCTTCCAGGTGGGATGGCTCTGAGGGTGGAGCTGTCGGGACGAGCATCCGCTTTGGCTGTCCAGAGAAAGGAGCTCTCGCTCCGTCTCGAGCGATGGCAGAACGATACTGCCTGCTTACGCAGAGAGAAGGAGAAGCTGCGACTTCAGGGGAAGATTGATTTAATGGGGCACCGCATCTGCATGCCTTTTAATGAGCAGCTTCCTGGAATTGCTGTCAGACTCGGCCCTGTTGCATGATGAGTCTGTGGACTTTTATGGGGGCCAGGGTTAATCCAGTGCTTCATTAACAGGAAATTACTGTCTGTTTACTCTGGGCATTGGCTGACTCCTTCACGTCGGCATCCAAGGTTTTATGCGCTGACAGTTCCCAGTGACGGTTTCTCCCTAAATCCCATCTCGAAGGAAGGGGAGGTTCTTCGGCGTCCGGCATGGCTGCGCTGGGTATCGAGACAGACAGGCCTGCGGGGTTAACTGTTCCTTCTTTGTTGTGTCAGCAATCAGAGCATCTTCCTCCCTCACTCCCGCCTCTGCACATCACCCATGTGAATGCACACGCGCGTGCATCGCTTTGAGAAATTAATGATCGAGCGCAAACACCGTGGTCCCGGCGGATGAGAGCCACGGCTGAGGTCCAGACATGAAACACCTTCCTGGGCCAAGACTTCTCAGTAGTGGAGCCACTTCAGCAAAATAGCTAAGTGCAGACAATGGACTCTTCCCTTCTCAAGTGATCTGTCTGCAGAGTTGGAGCCATTTGTGAAAGAGGAATGAAAAGAGGGCTGTTGGCTTTTTCTTTTTAGCAAAACAAATCTCCTGTCTTTGCACCGATTGTCACAATATCTATGCACTTAAATTTGCACTTAGATCTTTTAGGATGTTCTTTTAACCCAGACTTTTCTAGGGGGAGTGGGTAAAAAGCCAGGGGCACAAGGGATTCAATTTTTTATTAAGCAGATAGAGATGAGTTGTCATAGAGAGCTGCTGTCCTGAATCAGGAATGCAAAGTCAGCTGGCCTGAAATCAGCATTGGCTTCATGCACCCTCAAAAGTTGCTCTGGCTGTTGATCTCCTCATAGCAGGCTTTGCAGAACAAAGACTGAGCTATTCTTTGGGAAGAGCATGGTACAGAGAATTGAGCACTTGTGACTCGTGTGGGCAGAGGTAGATCTAGGGTCTGCTGTGCTGCCCCTTGACACCAGGTCACAAAAATGAGGTGGGAAGGAGACTGGCACGATGAGTTGCAGTGGCTTTTAGGTGTAAGGAATTTCAGGACACCTAAATTGGGTGTGGATTTGTCATGAGTGGGGGCTGGTTTGAGATGGAGAAACTCTGGATCAGAGATGGGTTAAAATGCATGCAGGTTGTGCCGGGAGGATAGACTTGGCTTCAGTTCCCAGCTCTGTCATAGCCTCTCCCTGTACATCTCACTTCATTTAGGCCTCAGTTTCCCCATGTGAAAATGGGGCTGTCATGATGGTAAATTCCTGGAAGCTCCACACCTCACAAAGAGTTACCGGCCTGGGCAGCTGTGTAACTATGGAGGCAGATATATATAATATATAGTGCCCTGTAAAGCCCTTGATACCACAAGGCATCCTGCTTAAAACGTGCGTTCTGCAGGAATAACAGGCACACATTAGCTGCCTAAAAACCTGGCTTGCTGACCAATCTCAAAACCATTGGTTAATGGGGGGGATACCAGCACTTGGTACCATTTGAACTGATCCCAAAGGACTTGCTCTTAGCTGATATTTTTCTTTGATGTAGATGACGATATCAAATCTGAGCTGATTAAGTTTGCAGATGACTCCAAGACTGATGTGATATGGCAGCAAAAAAGGCTGTGGGGGGAGCAGGGGGAAGGGGAAGGTGGTTACTCTTACACAGCTGTCTGTCTCAATATGACAAAATGTTTAATACAGCAAAGCACAAGGTAATACATCAGGAGCAAAGAACAGTAACTACCTTTACTGGTCCCTTAGGAAACAGTGTCTCAAGAAGAGAAGGGCTTGAGGTGGTTATCAATGATAACCCTTAACATGAGCTGTCACTGTGTTGCTGTGACTAAAAGAGACGGGGGACTTTTTGGATGTATATGAAGGGGACCTACTCCGGCGGGCTTTAAACTAGACTCGTCAGGGGAAGGGGAAGATGAGGGCGGAGGATACATCAGACTACCAGACCAAACGGCGCCCACAACTACAGCCCAGCCCAGACCGACAAGCGCAGCAGATAAACAGGTAAGAGATGGGGACCAGGGGAATGCTGGGACTAGGGGGTCAGTATACACATCTACTGGAGGCCTGAAATGCCTCTACACTAATGCCCGTAGCATGGGGAACAAGCAGGAGGAACTTGCCCTCCTGATGGCTGACACCAGCCCGGACATTGTGGGGATTACGGAAACATGGTGGGACTCCAAGCATGATTGGGCGGTGAATGTCAAGGGCTATAGGCTGTACAGGAGGGACAGGATAGGATATCAAGGAGGAATACACATCCTCGCTAATTAGTAAAGAGTCAGGGGAGAAGCACTCTGAAGTGCTTTGGGTTAGGGTTCAAGGCAAAAGAGGGGAAAGGGACCTAACGGTAGGAGTTTACTATAGACCACCCAACCAAGGAGAGGAGCTTGACCAGGAATTCTGGGGTCGGCTCACCGAGGTAGCGAAGGCTAAGGATGTGGTAGTCATGGGG